GTTCTTACGTTTTTTTTTTTTTTTTTTCAATTTTAGAGCTTGTAATGCTAGTTTTTTACAGTATCACATTGTGTCATCTCCAATGTTTTTTCTATTTTGCTGGTAAAGCTTTGATTCATCAGAAGTACCTCTTTTTGTACATCCTTTCTAGCATAAATTTTTTATTTGGTTCTTCTTAAGTGGAAGTTAGGTTATTATGCCGCAGCTATGAAACCCTCTGATGAAGCCAAACAGTATAGTGTTACATTAAAAGGCAGACAGTACAAATGTGTCTCACTGTTCAAAATTAACATTTGAAAGAAGGGGTTTTTGGATGAGATAGCAGGTAGGGTTTGAAAAGGTGTGCCTCTTGCAGAAGTACTGAATACGCATTGATCGGGTAGACGGATGCTTCATTGTGCTCAGCTAAAAAAAGTTGGAGGATCAGTGAGTGTTTAAGAGGTTGGCACATTCTGAGCATTTTTGGATGAGATGGCAGGTAGGGTTCAAAGAGAACAAGAACGGTTGACTAACAGCTGTGGGAGACGAAAGGAAAAGGATAGACACTTAATATTAAGCTGTTTCTGAGTGATATTTTATAAGATGAGTATAGCTCAATAATTTTGCAGATATTTTTGCTTTCAAAATTGATTTTAGCTTTAGTTTTTCGGTTTTTGATGTGAATGTTAGGAAAAGCGAGGAGAAATGGAGAGAGGTAAACGAAGATCTTGGGGAAGTAATTCAAACGATCAGATTGATGAATTTTAGAAACGCCATGAAATACGGCTTTTTTTGAGGATTTTTAGATGATTATCAATAAGAAAAGTAACGGGATGCGCTCAGATGGTAACAGGTATGAGTTATTTGTTTTGAACGATGACGTCTTTTTTTGAACAATCTAATGCTGTCAAAGCTTGAGGGATGGTTATCATCGATTTGAAGGGGATTGATTGGTTATGTTCATTCCCCATAGTTTATGCTTTTCTTTTTAAAACTGTTGTTTGCCAGCGTTTTTGTACTCGACAAATTTGTCATTTTATACTGGTTGAAGATGAAACTGTTAATCAGCAACCAGGACCAAAGCGCCTGATATTTATTTCCAGTAAGGTAACGTGGAATGATAGCATAGGTAACAGAAGTGAAAGCGAAGCTGATGGTAACACCATTTAGTGAGGTGTTCTTTTTTGCTTTTGAAGTCTTCTGCAGTTGCTTTTGAGAAGTTTTCTAAATTCGGGTAAAGGCAAATTTTTTTCATTACTGTCTTTTCAGTTTTCACCACGATACACAAATCGAAAAAAGTCAGCTGAAGCCATGTTAGAAAATTAGAATAATTAGTAAGTAAAATATAATGTAATGCAGACAAAGAATAGCTAATTTAGACAGTAATA